GCTTGGAATTTCTTCCATCAGTAACATATAGGAGGATATATTTGGAGACACAAATCAATCTCGATGCTCATAAAATCACATACTGCCTTTGCCGCCATAGGCAGAATAAAAGGTAGAATTCTCAGTCTTCTCCTGACACTGTAGATAACTTAGTTATTTCTCCTGACTGCAAAATAAGACTAATTCCATTCTAATGTGTTAAGAGAAGATTGTGAGAGAGACTGCAGTGACCACTGTCCATCTTCTTTTAGAACCATCGTCATGATTCTGTAGTCCAAACACTTCAGCATATTGTCTAAGTGTATGTGTGGACCCTATTTTAAACCCACACCACAGTAGTGTCTCCCTTTTACATTTTCTGTCTATCTCTAAATCTTTGCTTCTTCTTTACTCAGTCATTTTAAATCCATCTGTGTGATTTTCATTTGGAGACTTTAATATTTACTATTTTTGTGTGTGTGGTACTAGAGATTGAACCCAGCATGCTCTTCCACTGAACTATGTCCCTTACTCTTTTTGTTTTTATTTTGAGATAGGCTTTGCTAAATTGCCCAGGCTGGCCTTAATTTTGTGATCCTCCTGCCTTAGCCTCCTCAGTAGCTGGGATTATAGGCAAGTACCACCATGCCTGACTAAAGTAACACCTTTGGGGGGGGGAGTACCGGGGATCAAACTCAGGACCTTGAGGATTCGAGGTAGGCGGCAGAACCACTGAGCTAAATCCTCGGCCCCAGAGTAACATATTTTTAAAGTGTAAAATCAAATACTAACTCTCAAGAGCTCTGCAGAAGCAAAACAGTAACACTTTTAGCATGATACAATAGAAGGTCTTAGTAATTCGTTTTCCATACATTTTTTGTATTGTTCCTGGTGACCAGTGGAAAAAAACTCAGCTAGGCTGGGACAAAGCTCTACCTCTCAAAAAAAAAACCCAAATAACTTCAAATCCCATTCTGGGCTGGAACAGGGGCTACTCCTACACAGTGAACAGTAAACATATGGAACATTTTAACCCCAAGAGGTCATGCAAGCTGAAACCATAAATAGCTTCAAGAAAGTTTTAATACTGTCATGGAAAAAGAATACACAACTGAGGCACAAACTAAGAAGGGTCAACAATACATGTGTTGATAATGATGTGAAGAAAAGGAAACCCTAAACACTGTTGGTAAGACAGTAGTTTCGATCAACAACTTGGGAAATGATCTGATATTGTGTTGTAAAGCTGAACAGCCATGCACTCTGTAAGTCAACAGTGCAGTCTTGGTAAATACCCTAGAGAAATCCTGCCGGGAGGCATCAGAAGGCAGGGACAAGAAGCAATGTTCAAGAAGCAATGTTAAGAACAGCAAAACACTGGAAAGAACCCAAGTATCCAATGATATGAAAAGACATCCCCAAATTCTGGTGTATTCATAAAATGGAATCAGCAGTAAATATAAATGAACTTCTTTACATGCAGAAATAGGGATCTTAGAAAAAATGCTGAGTGGGAGAAGTAGTTCTCAAAAGAACTATATATACCAACAGTATGATATCATTTTTATAGACATAAAACATTATGAAACTATTTTTAGGAATTCATACATATGTGATAGAACTAATTTTAAGAGTAAAATAACGATTAATATAAAATTCAGAATCATGGTTTTCTTCTTAGGTCAGCCAAGGGAGTGGGACTAAGGGAAGAATATGGGTAGCTTTGAGAGTCTTGGTAATGCCTTAATCCTTAAGTCAGGTGGTGTTCATAATACTATCTTACTTAATTTATGCTTCCTAACTCACATGTGCATTATATATATCCTTTTATGGGCTGGGAATGTAGCTCAGGGGCACAGTGCCTGCCTGGCAAGTGCGGGCCCTGAGTTTGATTCCCGGTACAAAAACAAAAACAAAACATATATCCTTTTGATACCCGATGATGTTTCAGCAGAAAATGAAAATGTCTACATCCCTGACTTCTAAATAGACTTGGGAAACAACTCCTAGACTTTTCCAGGGGATGTTATTTGCTGCCAATAATAAAATAAACCTCAGACCAATGTGGACCACTGATCTGTTCAAGATTGTGCTTTCTGGGGCCCACACTAGTAATCCCAGCACTCTGGGCGGCTGAGGCTGGAGGATCCCAAGTTTGAGTCTAACTTGGACAACTTAATGACTTATCAAGATCCTGTCTCAAAACTAAAACTTTCAGGCCGGGGATTTAGCTCAGTGGCACTGCACCTGCCTGGCAAGTGCAAGGTCCTGAGTTTAATTCCAGGTACCAAAAAACTAAAACTTTGTAAAAGGACTGAAGATGTAGCTCACTGTGAAGGCCCTGGCTTCAACCTCCAGTACTGAAAGGGGAGAGGGAGAATGTAAAATTTTAAGAAAATAAAAATGGGGTTTTCTACTTTTAAAGTAGTAAGCACTTATTATAGAAAATTTGAAAAAGTGGGAAACTATAAAGAAGAAAACTGCCCTTTTTTGTCCTTTCTTCTTCATTCATAATTGTACAATGTGGATGTAACTACTATGAACTTTTTGTTGTATTTTCCTTCAGTTTTTGATGTGTAAAGTTAGACTCAACATAGCATTTAAAAATGTATTTCCCTGTTTAGATTTGGAATCTTGCTCCCTTGAAGACAGCAATAATGCCCTATGTGTATATGATATTTTTGGAATCCAAAGTTTGGTGTTAAGTTCTATTAAATATATTATCTACAGGCCGGGGATTTAGCTCAGTGGTTCCGTCGCTTGCCTTGCAAGCACAAGGACTTGAGTTCAAGCCCTGGTACCAAAAAAACAAAATATATTATCTACATAAATGGGGGCTGAGGGTGTAGTTCAGTTGTAAAGCATTTGTCTAGCATCCACAAGGTTGTGGTTCAATACCTACCAACACACACAAAAAACTAGACACATAAATGATAACTTAAATCGTAGCATTCCCTCACTGGAAAATATAAGGAATTAAAGGTCAGTCAAACTCAAGGTTGCCAAATCTTTTGCACTGTAATTTTTAGCCTCAAAGTCAATTACTAGAAATATGTGTGATGGGGTGGAAAAAGTTTTTCTTTTAATAGTCTTTTTATTTGTTGTTGTTGTGGTTGTTTTGGTACTGGGGATCGAACTCAGGGCCTTGTGCTTGTGAGACAGGCATGGCCCCACTGAGCTAAATCCCCACCCCAATAATCTTCTTTTTAAAACTCTGGTCTCTGGGCTGGGGATTTAGCTCAGCGGTGTCCGTCACCTGCCTTGAAAGCGCAAGGACTCGAGTGTGATCCCCATTACTAAAAAAATAAACAAAAAACTCTGGTCTCAGCACAAGAATATCTGAGGCATGATTTGAAAATTGGTATGTGTTGAAATTTTAAAAATTATAATAAAAGATACATGGTCATTAATCCAGCTCAAAATACTCCCTCTCACTTTGAACAAGGTCCATCATTCCTGCCACTTTCTGAAGAAGTTCTGGAAGTTCTCTTTCATGGGTGTCCTTAGTTGTGCTGTTGTTGCTGCATTGATGTCCTGAACTAATTCAAAATGTTTACCTCCGGGGGTCATTTTTACTCTGGGGAAGAAGCAGAATTGGCAGTGTGCCACATCCAGCGAATGAGGTGGATGATGATACACCTTGTTGTTTTTACAAGCCCACCTTTCTGTTGGATGGCACTTGGCAGCTACATTCATCTTTTTTTTTTTTTTTTTTTGGTACCGGGGATCAAACTCTGGACCTTGTGCTTTCAAGGCAGGCGGCAGCACCACTGAGCTAAATCCCCGGCCCTGTATTCACCATATTTTTCATCAGGCCTCATAGATACTCAGGAAAGAAGACTTCCAGAACTGCTTCAGAAAGTAGCAAGAATGATGGGACAAGAGTGTTAGAAGTGAGGGGGAATATTTTGAGTGGGTTAATGGCAATGTGTATTTTACTGTAATACATTTTTGGTTTTTTTGGTACCAGGGATCGAACTCGGGACCTTGCACTTGCGAGGCAGGCACCAGAACCACTGAGCTAAACCCCCAGCCTTACTGTAATACATTTTTTAAAATTTAAGCAGTCACCTTATTTTTGATCACCTCCTATAATTTTCTCAAAGATTGGGTTTTTTTTGGTACTGGGATCAAACTCAGGACCTTGTGCCTGCAAGGCAGGAACTGGTATCACTGAGCTAAATCCCCAGCCCTCTCAAAGATTTTTTAAAAGAATTTTGTTTTCTGAGTTTTTTAATTTTCTGAATTTTTTATTTTTTAATTTTTGTTTGTTTTTCTTGTGTTCTGAGGCAAGGTCTCACTATTCTGTTCAGGCTGGCCTTGAATTCACAATGTAGCCCAGGCTGGCCTCAAATTCACAGTGATCCTCCTGTCTCAGCCTCCTGAGTGGTGGGATTAATAGGTGTGTGCCATCACACCCAGCTTCTGACTTTTTGAAAACACAGAATTCCTTACATAATTTTAAAGGCATTTTGCTCATTCCTGACCAGATATACAAAGGTTAGTAGCATCGTGTGTTAAGCTGCTTATTCCAATATGTACCTGTAAACGTTTATTCTTTGCCAGGTGCGGTGGTGCATGCCTGTAGCCCCAGCACTCTGGGAGGCTGAGGCAGGAAGATTGCAAGTTCAAACACAGCCTGGGCAACTAAGCTACTTAGTGAGACTATGTCTCAAACTAAAAACAAACAAAAAGCCTGGAAATGTAGCTCAGTGTGAAGCCCTGGATTCTGTCCCCAGTATCCATTCCTGCCCCCAAAAGCTTATTCCCTTAAAACGATCTCCACCTACCATCTGCTCAGATGCTAAGATGATACACAACGTCAGAGCAAGTATAAGGCATGAGAATTTCAACACATTTATTTTCTTTTTTGTGGTACTGGGAATGAAACCCAGGGTTTTGTGCATCCTAGGCAAATGTCTACCACTAAGCTCCATCCCCAGCCTCATTATAGTTCATTTTAATGATTAAATTGCAGATCTTATGAGTGGAAATATTTTTTGTGTCTCTCTCCATGCTAGGTTCCTAAAATGTGGCGCTGATTAGAAGTGTGTGGTGAGCCTGGACATTTCCACAGGTGATTCTGAGGACCATTCAGGGTGCTGTACTTAGCTGAAGGACACAAACCACCTGTTTATATTTGAAAGACAAGGCCTGGGGATGTAGCTCAGAGGCAGAACACTTGCCTGCATGCTTGAGGCCTTGGGTTTGATCCTCAGCACCAATAGATACATAAATAAAAGAACAACTCCTCCACCCCCTATTCCACCCCTTGTGTGGCCCCAGAGAGACAGCCCTATATTCCGTCCCTATTTGTCAATGCTTTTCTCATTGCTAGGGATCGAACTCTGGGCTTCACATATGGTAGACAAGTGCAGTGCGCCACCGCTGAGCTACACCCCCAGCCTTCCTTTTTATCAATTTCTGAGAGATTCAGCTTAGACGGTCCCCATTCTGTCCCCTACAAATCAGGGGAAGACCTTCTTCCCTTCCAAAGAACCACTTCTTCTCTTGTGGCAATGCCTCACATCATTTTTCTCACTTAGGAAAATATAACATGTTCCAAGAGCCCATTGTTTGTAGGCAATTCTGATGACTATGTAAGGAATACAGGCTACAGCAATTTGGGAGAAAGACCTAAGGAATGATCCACCTGCCCTTTCCCCTTTTGAGCAGCTCACCATAGTACCCTGTTCACAGGGAGTGTCTTTATTTCTCAGCTTGAGAGATAGTGGCATTACAGTCAGAATGGCTGGGAGAGGGAGGAGAGATACCAAAAACAACAACAACAACAAAAAACAGACACCAAAGTTGACCGGCTGATAGCACTTTCTGTGAGCTACTTTATACAGGTAATGTGCGCCAAATAAACAGACTGCAGGGTGAGGGGACAAAAGTAAAGCATCAGAGTCTCACAACTGTCTGTCCAGGCTTTGGAATCAATTTAGAAAAAAAGCCAGCAGTTTTCACTTAACCTCTTGAAAATGTTTAAGCAAGGACTTCTCTCCTAAGCACAAAAGAAAAACACAATGACGGGACAAATTGCTCTTCAAATGTTTCATAAGATATGATAACCACAAAAATAAAATTTGTACAAGGTGAAAGTTTAAGTAGCTTTAAAATAGTTTTAGTTCTTTTGATCTGAAATTGTGTAGGCAAACTTCAGAGAAACTTCTCAACTCCTTCCTTACTGGGTACAGTTGAGACGCTGCACGAGGCCCAGGTTACTGGGGAAGTTTGATTTATACAGTGAGAGAGGAAAATGAAGTCACTCCTATTATTTGTCAACCAAAGAGGGCTGAAATAACAGACTGAGCTTTGGAGAGAAGAGCAACTGTGTTTGACAGCTGCAATCTTTCACCTTCCTTTCTAGAAACCAAGCAAGTTTGACAGACCTTGGAGAAGTAGGTACTATTCAGTGGCCCTCCCACAAGTCTCCTTAGCTGCCAACCAAGGCCATGGCTCTCTGCCAACTAACCCACCATGGCCTTTAAAGTCAACCAGGACCTCCCCACAAAACCGCATACAAAATCTGTAACAGGAAGCCACAGAAATCTGCCAAAATAAAATGCACCCGATTCCACATAAGAACATTAACAGCCCTTGAGTCCAGAACAGCAGTAACAAACAGGGAGGGAAAAGTATGTGCACAGCCATCCTTAAACTGGATCTGGTTTAGAAATCCTATTGTTCTAAAGGACTAAGGGTTCTACCAAGAAGTTGCAGATTCTTGTGGAAGAGGCCTCGGGGCCGTGTTAGGTGTAATTGCCCAGAATCTTTCCAGGGCCAGGAATAAAATTAGAGACAGCAGTCTCCCCCACTCTGTTCTTAGGCAGGGTTTTGGTGGTGAGCTTTGGCTGAGATCTGTGTTGCACTAGGACAGTCAAAATAGCAACGAGCCCCTGCCTGTTCACCTCTTGGTTTCTCTCTACCAAACTGAAGATGGATCTGCTGAGGCCTGCTGAGAACAGGCCAGCTGGGCAGGGGCCTGGGAGCAGAACTGAGGGCTCCATTTCTGGTGCTGGTCACTGCCTGGGCAAAACCTAAGGCTGGGAGAGTCAGCTGTCCTCTGCCTCACCCTCCCAGCCTGTGAGGAGGGCCTGGAGGAGGGCGTTTCCAAGGTTCTCTCCAACCCTGAGTTTGTGTTGCAAAGAAAAGTAGAGGAGTGCCAACAGGAGAGGAGATGTCTCTGAGCTGTCTTGACTCTCTGCTGCCTCAACCCTGGGACCAGAATCACTGGAACAGATTTTTAGGTGGGGGAACACAGAATTCCCCCAAAAGACAATTTTACTGTGACTTTCCAAGTGATTCGAGCCTGACTTCATTCACAGAACAAGTTCCTTTCCTGCCTGAGGTCCCTTAGAGTGACTTAGAGGAGAGGTAAAGACATCTACTCCAGGAGCAGAAGATGCAGGTCACAGAGGAAAAGGCTGTAGCGGCAGCGGATACATTGTGCAAGCAGATCTGTGAAGTGCGGCTTGTGTTGGGGCAAAACCACATCAGACCCTCCTCAGGTCTGTACGGGATGGTTTTGCAAGTGTTGGCTAAAACAACAACCCCACGTGACTGCCATACTTCTGCTGTCAGTAACAGTCAAGTCCTGACAGGCCTGTGCCAAATCCACCCCCAAGAATATACTGAAGACTCATGCTAGACTTTCATAGCTTTTAAACTGGAAAGACAAGAGAGGGGTGGACTCATTTACCAATTGTCTCTGCCCCAATTTGGAAGCTACCTAGGTAGGTATGGGTAGCAGGAAGTCCTGTTGCCCCAAAGCTTTGGGCACAGTTTTTGGGCTCAAGTGAGGACAAACAAGAGACATTGAAACTTATAGCTGACTCATTTTCCTGACTTTAAGGCAAATTTGTAGCAGAAGTGTGAGACTAAGCAACAATTGACTTGGATCTTGCTGGATTGGGTAGGTGACCCTACTGCATCCCGGAAGATGTCACACTTAGGTGGTCAGACTGAGAAGTGGCTCTTTAGTGTTTACTGGTGGCAGCAGGCCTGGGATTCACAACTTACCTTAGAGCGGGGTGGGGTTGAGGTTTGAAAGTCGCACTCAGTGTGGTCCCTACAAGCCTTCCAGGTGGCCCTGTCTGGCGGGCTCAGTCCCTCGCCTTAAATCATCTCTCTGTAGACCTAGCTCGCCTCTGTCAAAGGGAAAGACCTTGAACGTGCCACCTCCATCTCCTCCACTTTGAGGGGTAACCTCTGTCCCTGGGTAGTTTCTCCGGAGGCTCAGCTCCCTCCCCCAAGTGTAACCCAATGTGAAGGCTCAGCATCGTGGGGAGGCGTGGCCGTAGCGCACCCACCCTCGCCTCTGTCCTCTGTCCCCTCCCCGGAGGCAGTATTTAAGAGGTCTTCCTCGCCACCTCCGCGCTTCCTCGCTGTGTCCTTGGAGCCAGCCGGCAGGGAAGGCGCGAGTCGCGAGTCACCGTCCTTCCGCGCGCGGGGCCAGAGGAGCGCTCGGGGAGCCGGAGATTCGCGGGGCCGAGGGACAGCGCGAGGAGGGGACAGCCCGGCCGCACCCCCGCGACCTCGCTCACTGCCGCCCTCCCCCTCCCGCTCCGCAGCCGCTCCGTGACCATGTCGGCAGAGCCCACGAGCGGCCCCACGGAGGACCAGGTGGAGATCCTGGAGTACAACTTCAACAAGGTCAACAAGCATCCAGACCCCACCACGCTGTGCCTCATCGCGGCCGAGGCGGGCCTCTCGGAGGAGGAGACCCAGGTGAGCCCTGCTCCCCCAGGAGCCGCTTCCCCTCCACGGCCACTTTCCTCCGGCCGGGCCATCGCTTTCTCCTCCCTCGGGGCTGGGCAGCCGCTGTCGCCTCGGTCTTGTTTCGCTTTCCCGGCTCGGTGTCCCCTCCGGACTGTGCGCGACCCCTTCAGGAAAATCTAATCTCCGAGGGAATGTCACCGTTGGAAGGGACCTTAGCGATGATAACATTAGTCCTCGGGTTTGGCAAAGGAGGAAGCTGAGGCCCGGAGGGAGGGAGGGAGTCGAAGCCTGGCATGGAAGGTTGAGGGCGCTGTTCGCACCTCGTCGCCCTGCAGCTGCGGAACTCAGACCGCAGGTAGCACCTGGCACCAGGGTTCAGGTTTTTTAAACATTTCCTGGCTCTAAGGTTTAGAGGCTTTTTCTGGAGACTTCCAAGAAGGTACACCTCTGACATTGCAGCTAGGGGGAGTGGCAGCCGATGGATGTCCCCCCAAGGGCATGATTTACTTCTGGTTTTGAAAAGCTGTTATATTACCCTGGAAAATGCTTAGGGAGGAGAACGCAGCACTCTCCAGGTGCAGTTTTGAAGCCTTTAGCTGACTCTTCGTTTTTAAACCCTGTCCAGAATCTGACTTGTATTTCTCCTTTGGTCATGGAAAGAAAATTTGTTGTGTGATAAACTAGTTGGAGCCGATCTAGCATACCTGCCATGGCAGCCCCAAGCACCTTGCACATCTAATCTCAACTCAAGCAGAGACATTCTTATTCTTCCCACTTCAGGGACTTTGTCCCCTCCTCACCATGCTGAATGGGTCCTCCCTGGAGTGCAGGACTAAGACCCTGGACCCCAAGTCCAAAATGATTTTTACTAATTAGCCAAAGATAGCCTGGAGAACTTGCCCATAGATAGTCCTCTCATTTGCAGATCAAATAAAAAGGCAAACATACCTGTTTCTAACAAACAGAACAGCTATCTGACTAACTAGGACCAGAACTAAATAGAAGGTGATTTACTGTAACCCAACTCTCACAGCTCATATTTCATGGAGCTCCCAAAGAGCCAGGCTGCTGCAGTTTTGTCATTTAAAATCCCATGCTATATTTAGAAAAGAGAATGACTACAGAGACAACTTGTGTTTTAAAAACAAGGTTGTAGGAGATTATGGGCGCAGCACCAACTTGGGGTCCAACACTTCTCAGCCTCTGATTCTGATGTGGCAATTTAACATCAGTCCCTTTACCTATTCACTATAGTGTGTGTGTGTGTGTGTGTGTGTTTGTGTGCGCGTAGGCACGCACACACACCCCCTCGTGCTGAGGATCAAACCCAGGGCCTTGAGCATCCTAAGCACACAGCCTAGCACTGAGCTGTATCCCCAGCCCTATGTTGACATTTGGAATGGCTGACACATGCCATGTACTGTTTCAGGCACCTTCTTAGTATTAAGTCATCTATCTGACACAATAATACTACAGAGGTAGGTACTGTTAGCACAATTCTGTAGCTATAGGGACTGAGGCACAGAAAGACTAAGTAACTTGCCCAAGACCACAATAATAGGGCTGGAACTTGAACTTGGCCAGTCTAGTTCTTTGATCTAGACTCCAGGCCACCATGACACATTGTCTCGGCAGAGGAGGCTATGGAAACAGCTGAATGGGATGGGAGGGAAGGATTAAAAAACAGATTCAAATTTATTGATTTTTTTAAATGCATGCATTGAGTGGCAGTCACTCCAGACTATAGTCAGCCTTTCCCCCAGGATCACCTGGTATTAGCAAATTAAAATTAAATCTGGATAGGGACAGGAAGACAGGGCACCTCTCTCCATGGCTGAGGCCAGCCTATGCAGACGTCTACACAGCGGGCTCATCTGCCCTGTCAGGCAGCCCTTCCTCCACTTTCCCCTCTTCTGCCAACCTCAAATAAACAAATGGTCGACCTAGTCCAACAAGAGTGGGTACGGGGGAGTCAGCCACAGAGCAGGGGCCCTGGCTTCCTCTTCCTGCCATGGGGCCCACACCTTCTTCCTCCCTATGTGCCGAAGCCTTTGTGTCTAAGCATCTGGAACCCAGAGCTCAGAGAGAGGTACAGTTCAGCAAGTATCAGGAAAGAGGCCTCCTAGGTACCTCAGGCCACCTGCCCTCTGCCATTCCTTCCTGGGTTGAGTCTCTTCTTCCCATCCCTTCCACCTTTGCCTTCATGTGCACAGGTGTGTGAGAAGGGTTCTTTAATCTTCTGAAACAACACTTGCATTTTTTTGGTGCAGGGGATCGAATTCAGGACCTCGAGCTTGCCAGGTAGGCACTGTGCTGCTGAGCTAAATCCCTGTCACTCAACAGTTGCATTTTTAAAAGTATCTTCTACCCAAGAAAAGTAGTTTGGAGATAGAATGCTCAATGATGAACTTAATAAAAATTTTTATTTGTAGTAGATCTTTTAGGAACCCTTTAAATAGCTCTACAGAGGCCAGGGCCTGCTACACCTACATGCAATTGATATCGTTATCTGAACATCCCCCATTTCTGTTCTGTACCTGTCCATGATGAAGGGTCACCAAAGATAAAATAATATTCGTCACATAGGCATGAATCTTCAACTTTTCCTGTAATACCAGCCACATCCAGAGATAGAATCACACTGTTAATTTCCCTAGAATAAGTAATACTTTAGTGAAAGAAAAACAAGCACAAGATGCTCTTCAAAGACGGTTACTGCAGCTGACTTACACTGCTGATACTTGGGCGGGGCAAGGGGGTCTGAAAGGTACAAACATTCTGTTACTAGGGAGATTTGCAAACCCTTCTTTTTCTTCTCCCCTCTTACATCAGACATGCAATACTGTCTACCCGATGTCCAACAGGGTTTATCCAAGGTACATCTCACACAGTGATGTGAAAACCCAATTGTCACACTTATAAGCCACCAAAAGATCTTTGAAACTTTGTAATTGGTTCACTGTAGGACAGAGCTCTCTTCTGGGGAGGCAATCAGAGGATCTCAGAGTGAAGGCTAGGCTGTGCTAATGGAAATAGCTTTTCACGTGTTGCTACGGCCCTAGAGTAACAGTAATCTAAATATGTCCTTCACTTAAGTTAGGCAAAAGCCAACAGAATCCCCACTCCTGTGTCATTAATGCTTTTGAAGTCAGGGTTGGGGGACTGGGAAAGCTCTTTCATCAGCCCCCTAGGGACTGGGATGAAGTAGTGTTCTTTATTATCACATACACACACTCACACAATTCAAGCACACACTGCAGTTGGCATTGGCTCTTGGAGACGGTTCCAGTATTTTTATCTCCTCTTGATGTTCTGGGCTTGTTCCCAGAAACCAGCAGTTTTAGTTGTTGGATGTTTTATCAGTGGAATAAAGTGCTCTAAAGGTCTCCCCCTGAAAAGAATGAAATGTTAGTTGCTAGAGAAAAGGGCAAGAACAATGTGATTTTGTCCCAAATCCTCCTCATCCCAGGGTCTAATTATTATCTGTTCACTGGGAGTAAATAAATCTCCATCAGTGGGCAAGGGTAATGAGAACATTCATTTATAAGCAAGCAAGGGATGAATGTCTTTCCCAGGAGGCAGAAAAGGAGAACAAAGCCAGGTGGAAAATTAGTATTGATGGGAGTAAGAAGTTACAAGATTCAACTCAAAAGGGGGAAAAAAAGCAGGACTTCATGTTTTTTGCTAACATAAACAGCAAATGTTTTGCTAAAATATTATGTATGCATGTGATTTAAAATATGTATCTTCAGAAAACATTTGAGCTTTTCCCTTCTCCCACCCCGCAATGCTAGGGCTCAATGGTTAAACATTTAGATCTGAACTTGCAAATTCCCAAAAGTGATTCACACTGAAGCTATTTTGGGGGAGGATTCATCAATATTCTGCTTCACCACACAACGTGAAGACGTGGGTGGCTCTTTTGAATAGGGCCAGCTCAACCATGTTGCCTTAAATGAGATCTGATCGAAAGTGAGACTTCCCTCCCCTAGGTTTTAATTAGTCCTTAAAATACTGCTATGTATTCAGTGCCAGTCACTGGGAATCCTGTTTAATCAGCACTTGCAGCCTTGAAACCCCCATAGAGCGACCTCATTAATGAAGCTGGCGCCATGCTGAGTTCAACTCAACTCAAACTCAGAATTAATGGATCCCACACATGGATCATATAGGAAAATGCACCCACCAGTCACAGTAGAACTGAGACAGAACCAAAGTGTCATGAACTCTCTCTTTTCCTTAAAGTTAGTGATTGCCCAGGTGCAAATATGGCATCCAGAGAGCAACCCCAAAGAGAAGGCTTCCCTCCCACTGGTTTCCGCCCTGGCTTTTGACTCCTTTGCTCTGCTGCCACCCGCCTATATAAAGGTGGGGAGACAACTGCTCCGACACCTGTGTGGTTAGGGTGAGCTGTGGGGTGCAGCCAGCTTAGCACTGCTGTGCAGCCCTGCACACTCAGCCACATGCCCTTTCTACAGCATGTGGTTGGGGACTTGCTCCTCGGGCCTTCTCCACCTTTCTTCTGATCTTAGTTTATGCTCCACTCCCTTCAGCTCCCTCTCTCTCTGCAGAGATGCAGTCTTGCTCAGTGTGGCTCTAGAGCCCCCTGTTTGCATGCACGGTGGTGGGGGGAGGTTGGAACTGCATGTAGGGAGGCCCTGGCTCATGCAAAAGGGGGAGCTCTCCAGACATCTCCTGCCACACTACCTCCATAAACATATACTGGGTTTGACATCTTACAGCTGTTCTACTTCTCTTTCCTTTTTGTTCCCTCATCTCCTTACTCCTAGAATAGCTCAAAGGGACAATAGAGACCCACCCACACACCAAGGTGGCCTCCCCATGTACAAACCAGCTGGTTGGGATTAGGGACTATATTTAGGGACTTCTCACCCAGGAGCTAGAGTAGTGCTTTCGGTTGGCAGGACCTGGGACTGCAGCACCCTAGGCAGTCACTTACCCAAGCAGCTTGTCCATTAACATCAGCATGACATGCAAATGTCATCATTCTCCATGTACACCATGACAGAAGGGTTGGGAAGCATGAAGGAGAACAGAGCTTGGGAGTCCCTACTTCTCACAGAGTTCTCTACCTCATCCTTTCAGTGGGGATCAAGCTCACTGCCTCTGTTTCCCCACTCGCCCTTCTTCAAGATTGTTTTCTTAAAATCCAAGCTTCCCCTTGATCAACCTGGTCCAGACCCCAGATCTCTTCCCCAGCATGATTCTCCCAGTCTCTTCATGGCATCCTTCACCTCCTTGAGAGCCTAATACCCAGCCACACTGCCTTACAACATATAAATATGTCTTGGGCCTCCTGTGGGACTGTGGCTAGGAGCATCCCACCTGAGGCCTCTCTGAATCCATGGTTGCTTCTGAGAGCTATGTATATATGAGTCATACAGAGCTGGAAGATTCTAATGAACTGGGAGACCAACCCCACCTTCTCTCATTGCTCAATGGTTCTGGAGCCAGAGAGATTAGGCTGGCGGTCCCATGTACCCCCAAGAAAGAATACTCCACAGTTTTCCTGTTCTCTGATACCATTCATTTTATTCAATGCATTCTTATTCAATAGGGTGCTACTGATGAGTGAAGCCTATGTTGAGATCTGCACAGAAGAGATATAGTGGCCATAGAGGTTTATCTGGGGCATCAAGGAGCTACTTCAGTTTCTTTTATTCATTCAACAAATACTGATTCATTTCTAACTCTTGGGCCTTTGTACTAGAGCCTAAGATCCAATGATGATGAGATGAAAACAGTCTCTGGTTTCACAGATCTTATATTCTAGGACAGTGGTGGCGAACCTTGTGGAGACTGAGTACCCAAACTGCTCGTGACATCATCACCTGGCACCAATACTCCTTTCTGAGCATGCACATGGCCGCTGTGAGCACTGCTATCTGATGCCCGGCTGCTGGTACAAAGCTGGAGTGCCAATAGAGGGTTCTGTGTGCCCACTGCAGCACACGTGCCGTAGGTTCACCACCACTGTTCTAGGAGATACATTGATTTAAAATGATTGAACGCACAAGCACATAAAGTAATGATAGATATGAAAGTTGCATGAAGGTACCAAAGCACGAAGACAGAGTGGCCAGGGAAGACTTCACTGGGAAGGTTTTATTTAAACTGAAGCTGAGGATGAGAGAGATCAGATAAGAATAGAGGCCATTGTAAACCTAAGAAATAGCAAAGGTCCTGAGATAGAAACAGTTGGCATCACAGTGAGAACCATCCCCATGGACACATCCCTTGCTTCTCTCCTTGGGGTGGGGTTGGGGCACAGAGACTACCATTTAGAAATGGAACAAGCATTCTGATTGTGCAGTATGTGACAGCTAATTCTGCACATTTCTCTCTCCCAGAAATGGTTTAAGCAGCGCCTGGCCCAATGGCGGAGGTCGGAAGGCCTACCTTCAGAGTGCAGATCCGTCACGGACTGAGGATGTGGCCAGCCCTGGCAGCGCTGCTCTGAAAAGACCACCTGCTCCTTCTCTCCTCGTCTTAACCAGGCTGTTTGATTTCTCGGTGTAGTGTATGTTCCATGTTAGGTGTCCTGCTAGTTAACATGCTGTGGTACTTTTTAATGTACATAACTAGAAAATAACAATGGGAAGCTGAGCACAGGCTTTGTGCAGAGCAGTGGCTAGTTGGCCAAGTGCTGCAGAACAACTACATTTCTTTCCCTTTGGCTAACTATGACTGACAGTGTGAAAACTGACTCAGTTTGTTTTTGAACGCCATCTCCCAGGAAGTTTGTTTTCACCACCCATTTCAGAGCAAGCAGGGCCTCTGCTGAAAAGATATGGCAGGAAGAGGAGAATGTTTCCTGTTGAATCTACTTCCCTATGTCATTTTCCTTATGTTGCAGTTACTACCCTGATGGTGGAGTGAGAATACAAAGGTTAGCTGAGTCATTCAAAGTGTATAAAATGGTTCGTGGCTTATGGCTGCATTAACTCGGAAAGAACCCAGTTAGGCTAGAAGACAGAGGCTTCTCCCAGCAGGAAAACAAGTGATTAAAAAAAATAAATCTACAAAAGTCTTACCTTATTTAAATGTATTTGTTAAATTTATTTTGCTAAATAAAATGAACCACTTTTTGTCTCTAAAACAACGTTCTAAACAAAACCTCGACTTTTTGTTGAAAATGCACTGCGTTGTCTATAGATTTTGGCTGAAAAATAAACAAATCGAAAAGAAATAGAATAAGGCCGGGGATTTAGTTCAGTGGTGCCTCCACCTGCCTCACAACCAGAAGGTTCCAAGTTCAATCCCCGGCACCAAAAAAAAGAAATAGAATACCCCCTCCAAAGAGCTGCCTGAAAGAGTTGTCATCTTCCAGATCCTTGCTGTTCAAAGCATGGCCCAGGATCGACCTCGTCAACATTAGAGGCAAGCTAGTGAGACAGACAGCACAATCTCAGACCCTAATCCACATCTGCTGAGTCACAGTCTGCACTCTTACCAGGGTCCCCAAATGGTTTGTAGGCAGAGAGATTCGAGCAGGACTGTTTCAAAGATTTCTGAAGTGAATTTGCATCCATTTACTAGCAGCACTCATAAACGTCTTAGTCTGTCAATTGAAATTGTGTCTGATCCCATGAAACAATCGGACAGGCTTTCTTGTTGAATTGTTTTTACATAAGACATCAGCAATAGGTAATCCAAGACTGTTAGAGTAGCTCTCTAATGTTGTCAAGGGTGTAGGGTCATTCTGTCTTGCCATTTTTCTATCTTTAGCACACAGCTCTTATGTTGATGGACAGAAGATGAATGCTGTAATATTGAGTCTGCATTTCAAGGAGAGAGAGAAACGAGGGGAAGAAAGAGGAAGGGAGAGGGATAGAGAAAGAGAAAGGGAGGAGACAGAGAGGGAGAGAGAGGGAGGAGAGGGAGGAAGAGAGAGAGAGAGAGAGAGAGAGGGCACAAAGGGCAAATGCCAGCTAAGACTTTCCCTTTAAAAAGGATTCTTGCCCCCCCACACACACACAAAAAAAATTCCTAGTGGGCCAGGGATTTATCTCAGTGGTGCCACTGCCTGCCTCACAAGCTCAAGGTCCCGACTTCCATCCCCCGTACAAAAAAAAAAAAAAAATTCCTAGAAGCCCCCACCTAGCAACTGCCACCAACACCTGATTGGTCAAAATGAGTCACGTGACCACCTAAGTAACGTGGAGTCTTGGAAGGTAAGCATTTGTAATTTGGTGTATTGCTGCCTTGAGTAAAATCAGGGTCAGTTGGTAAGAAAGAAGGAAAAGATGGACATTGAAAAGGCCAATCCATCCAGGAATGATGCTGGCACACACTTCTAAACTCTTACATGTGATGCTAGCTCAGTCTTTCTAGATGTTCAAAACAAAGAGCCCAAAAGTGGAAACACTGACAATTTTCCAGCATATAGATGTTTACAAGATCCTATTAAACATCCTTGGAAAGCTTCCTCTCCCTCTACCTCAAAACCTTTCTCCAGTAAACAAATGTGCAGCCAGGCCAGGTCTGAACGGAGGAGACCTGTCCCTGGCACACTCCCCGGCAAGCTAATTAGGGGCCTGAGCACCTGTCAGTGCCCAGGGTGGAGGCTGGCTTCTTTCTGGGAAAAAGAAGGGCGAGGTGAGGATGAGGCAGGAATGTGGGTGTATAATTAATCCCTACACAGAGAGGATATGATTTACTTTCTGAAGGATTCTCATGGATCCTGGCTGACAGACAGGGACGGGAACACGCTTCGAAGGTGACCATGGGCAAAACAGACACAAAGCACAGATCTATCCATGCAGCACTGAGCGGGCTGCAAACCAGGTCTAAGACCCGGGTTAGAAGTCTCTTGAGCACACCCAAGCTATCAAGCACCCTGGCTGTGGGTCTCGATCTCCTGCAAGGCAATAGAATGCAAGTGAGAGAGAACAAAAGACACAGAAGCGAGTCTTAAAGAGAAAGTAGGGATCTGGGATGGTCTAAGCTGCTCTGGGCAACAAAGACAAAGGGCACCCAAGACCTCCAATATTTATTGATTACAAGCGCAGGAAGAAGTAGGACAGGGTATAGTGAGATACCTGGAGGTAGTGTGTGAGGAATCTGATGATAGCGGTTATTAAAGGCAAGGCTGTAACAGGGAGCCACTGCTTTCTTGCAGGAGAAAACAAATGGCGACCAGGACTAGGTTGTAATTAACCACTAACCCATCAGGTCAGTGAGAGAGGCCGTAATTCAGGGGAAGAAATTTAGTTGGGGTCACACTGACCTCAGCTGAATGTTGGCTCAACAGGGCCCTGTCGCTTCACAGACCAGGACTTAGGTCTCTGTAGCAGCCATTGGCAGAGGAGCTATGCTCGCCCAGCTCGGCCATCTGACATGCCCATGTGAGTCACATAGGCTTCGGTCAGACTCCTAATATAATACAGCCGTATTAGGGGGAACCAAGAAGTTTGTGCCATTATAGCCTGCTAGTAAACCAGGCAGGGGTATCCACAACATCAAGCCATGATCAATGAGCGATCCAGGACAAGAAGAGTTAACTGTGGGCAGAGAGTTTGCCTAATAGGCAGAAGAATCACTTCCTGCACCCAGAGTCCAGACTTGAATGGCACGTGCCAGGAGGGAATCAAGATTCCACATCTTTCTAGATACAGATTTGTTACTAATACCAATCCCCTTAAGTTTATTTTTATTACCATAAGACAAAAATTGCCGTATACTACTAAGAAAGAAGCCCTTTGTAAAGAAGCCATAATTATCGCTGGCACAGAGTGCTAAGGAAGACGTGTCAAGGCTTATTTTGATGCATACATCTTAATGAGCACAGGTAGGGCTCCAGTTTTATCTGGAGTTTCTTCTGGATACCCACGGTCACACCCCAAAGTGCTCATACCCATCCTGGATTGAGAAAGACTGCACCTGCCCTGTCTTTTCACTGTCTCCCAGCACTACCACTACAGACCCTGTTGGTATAGGCGAACCAATACTCATCCCCCAACCCTGTTGCTGTTGCATCCCTCCTCCATGGAGCCAGGTTGGACAAAACCAAAACACTGTGTTTTCCTCCTCCCTTGAAGTGGTGGTGGTCATGTGACATCATCTAGCCAATGAGACTTAGATTGAACACCGGGGGTGTGGCTTGAGGGAACATTTTTGGGGTTTTACCCTGGTAATGGGAATCAAACCCAGACCCTTGCACATGTGGTCAAGTGCGCCACCATTGAGCTCCCTCACCAGCCCTTTTCTACTTCACTAAATTGTCCAGGCTGGCCTTCAACTTGTAATCCTCTGCCCCAGCTTCCGGAGAAGCTGGGTTTATAGGTGGGCACCATTATGACCATGCCCACTGCTTTTCTTGATAAAATGTATACATGCAGCAGGTGCCATCCTTTCCTCCTTTCTTGCTTTGAACTGGTTTCATTTGTTAACTATAGAAATACAAATAAGCAAAAAAAGGAAAAGTAGCCAGGAATGGTGGCACACGCCTGTAATCCCAGCACTTGGGAGGCTGAGGCAGGAGAATCACCATGAGTTTGAGGCCAGCCTGGGCTACATAGTGAGTTCAATGCAAGCCTGAATTACAAAGCAAGACCTTGTCTCAAAAACAAAAACAAAAAAAGAAAAGGAAAGGGAACATACAATAAATTCAAGAAAACCCACAAAAATTACACAGGATTCCCCACTACCCAGAGGTAATCATGAATTAATCTTAGGGTTATAGTGTCCCATATTGGGGACAGCATGCTCTCTATGCATAAACACACAGCAGCAGGGAGAAGAAAATTAATGTTTTAAAAGCTAGTTGTACTTTGAGCCATTGAGAGAATGGAAGGATTCATCCCATGGAAAAAATTGGCTATTTTATTTAGGAAAACATTTTGATGTGTTTTTGAGACTATAAAACAGAGGTCTTGAAGGAGGTGAAAAAAAGAGGAGAACTCAATAGCTATGCACAATAAAAGAGCGTAAGTTTAGTGCTTCATTCCACAGAAACTCAGGTAGGAGGATATTTGGGATCCTTGGGTTCTTGAAGAAGGGAGAGAGAAGAATGATCTACCCAGTAGAGAGAGCAGCACTGGAAACGTGCCAGCCGACTCCCAAGAGAAGCAGGGGTAGACGGTGAGCTCGGCTTGGGAGCTTTGCACTGCTCTGTGGCCACTGCTCTGCTCTCAGCACCCTTTACCTTGTGGGAGCTCCTCCCACTGTCCTGGTAGGGCAGTTAATCCCAGCACCTCTTTCCCCAGTGTAGGACAGTCAGACATATAATCAGCCTGGGTAGTCATGATGCCAGGCCTGAACCAACATGCAGGCTCCTAACCTAAGCTGGATCAATCAAAGGCCTTTGTCAGAATTTTCTCGATTGACCTGGATAGTTCTTCACTAGCCTCTTGCCCAGAGAGTTATGAGGATGGAGTTGTAAGATGAGTTGAGGTTACAGGTAGCCATTTAGAGTGAAGGCAAGCAGAGATAGGGAGAGAGAGAAAAAGAGACAGACTGGCTCCTCCTTTGGTCTCCCTCAGCCTTCTTGGCTTTGTGAACTAGTGAATTCCCTTCTTGGTTGGTACCTGTTAGTCACAATAAAAGGAATCTTGACTAATGGCAGGATGAAGAAAGGGAGAGAAGGCTCATGGAAGGAGAATGATTCAAAACCCAGGAGAAATTGCCAATAAACTTCAAAAATATTTGGGCAGAGCACCAGATTTTTCTTAGTCAATGGAAACTTCAGAAAAAATTATTCTGGCACATTAAAGGAAAAGATGACCACTGACAAACAGCTTGTAGGCATTAAGGTTATGCGCCTTTGTGAAGTAAATGCAAACTCGAGGCAGATACGATTTTGTTACCTTCTTGGGGACATTGTGCTACTGTCAATCTGTGCCCTCTCTGTATATTAATCTTGTTCCGCATATTACACTATCTACTAAAAGGTCATTTAAAAATGTCATACCAACTGTTTCAAATGTATCCCTGCCTAAACTCAATGCCAAAGTGACCAGTGACAATGATGACGATAATAGTTAGAAACTTCGCATTCTTTTCCCATGGTGGAA